AAACCCAGAATGGAACTGCTTTGCAAAGCCATTGACTCACTTTTCCTGGGCAAAGCTCCACCTGCTGATGCTTTACGGTCTGAACTCATTAAACACAGGGAACTGACATTCCTGCAGCATCAGCACAAACACCTCTGTCTCTGCTGGATTGCAATGCTGTATAAGAACAAGTGCGACCACAGCGATTGCAACAACAATTGAGATGTCTCCCCATTTAGCATTGTAGGAGCATTTTTGCCTGGGTTGGCCATGTCAGACTGTCCATCCTGGCTGAAAACAACCCCCATGTGCTTCCAGAACTGGAAGTTAGGTAATTCATATTGTCTTTTCAGTACAGTTCGTGGAAGAGAAATGTCATGAACAAACAAAACCACTACATATTGCCTTTATTGATCTCACCAAGCTATTGAAACATATGAGCAGAGGATAACAAGGTGTAGAGCTGGATGAACACAGCAGGCCAGGCAGCATCAGAGGAGCAGGAAAGCTGACGTTTCGGGTCTGGACCCTTCTTCAGAAAATCCACGTGAGCAGAGGAGACGTATTTAAGCTGCTGGAGAAAACTGGCTGTTCACTAAAGCTACTTAATATAATCTCCTCTTTCCAGATCATTTCACAGGCACAATGTGCCTGACAGATTTCAATTCCTTTCACTAATAGGCTCGTATTAAAATGTAGTGGTACTTATTTTGATTTGCAATTAATGCAACACAATTTGCACCATATTGTAACACATTAAAATTCAGAATATGTCACAACATGCCAAATTAAAATGATGTTAAACCATTTGGCATGATGGAAAAGACTGACCAAAGATTTTAAGAATATTCTCAGAGAGAGACAGAGACAGGGTTTGGGAATTTCAGAGTGTGATGCCTAAGGACTGAAGGAAAGGCCAGTAAAAACAATTTTAAAACTTAGAAATGTAGAAAATAAGAGCTGTGGTAGTCCATTCAGCCCTTTAATACCGCTCCACCGTCTTCCAACTCAGTCCCCTGTTCCCACTTTCTCCCCATATCCCATGATCTCTTTAGCTTGAAGAACTATCTCTAACTCCTTCTTGAAAGAATTCAATGTTTTGGCCTCAGCTAACTCTGTGGCAGAAAATTCCACAGCTCTCCATTCTCTGGGTGAAGACATTTCTCCTCATCTCAGTCTTAAATGGCTTAGCCCATACCCTGGATCTGGACTCCCAGGTCATTGGGAATATCCTTCCTCTGTTTAACACAGTCTAACCCTGTTAGAATGTTATAGTTTTGTGAAATATTTACATTTATATGTGACTTTGGGGACCGTGGGTGGATCCAAAGCCTTTTACAACCATGAAGTGTAATAAGGTCATGTAATTTGGGAAATGTGGCAGCCAATTTGCAAACAAAAGGTCACATAAACAGTAATGAGATAAGGTGATATATTTTGTTTTAGTGATGTTTGAGAGGTAAGCGTTAGCAAGGTAAAAATCCTTGCGTTTAGCATCGAAAAATCTCATAATGTAACATCACGTAAAAACATTTTTGACATTATAACAATAGTAGTAAATGTGATTTTACTTTCCATAATTTGATTGTTTTATCAGAAATGTTTCATGGACTGAAATCATTTCAAAAAAAAAGGAGAAATGCTGACCTAAAGTGGCTGCTGTGATCACCTGAGCACAATTGACGCAAGCTTCAAAAGACTAATGTGGAAGAAACAAAGACTGTTTACATGGAAATTACCATTTTTATCTAAAGACATCAACACCAAGAAGTGAGTCAGTGTCAAGTAATTTGCATTTCCTGTTTTAATTCATGCTTATATGATCATTTCACATACTGCACCCTCTCCAATTTAATAAAGTCAAGAATACTGACATTTCATCTAAATTCCTCTTAAAATTTGACAAGAGCTTACATAAACAGTGAAGCAATAAAGCTGTAAAATTACTAGTTTACATCCTATTGGTCAAGTGAAGGATTTTTTTCTAATAGCTTGGAAAAATAGCTATGATATGCAACAATGGAAGACTTTTATTTCTCTCTTCATCAGGTAGGGCAAGACGTCCAGGAGTAATATTCCAGTGACTCCTAAAAATGTACCAGTTTTCCAAACCAGCACACAAAGAATGACTTTATTTGAACCTTTTCAAGATGATGGAAGGATCTGATGGGTGCATAAAAAGAACCATTTTGTCTGGAGATGGTAAGAACTGCCAATGCTGGAGTCAGAGATAACACAGTGTGGAGCTGGAGGAACACAGCAGGCCAGGCAGCATCAGAGGAGCAGGAAAGCTGACGTTTCGGGTCGGGACCCTTCTTCAGAAATGCTGCTTGGCCTGCTGTGTTCATCTTGTTATCTCAGATTCTCCAG